TTTCCCCTCTGACAGACAACTGTGTTCACCAGTAGCCACCCAAGCCTGCCAGCCCCCTTTCCTATAAATCATTCTGCTCAAGGAAGATAAATGTAGTCAAGCACATTTCAGGCTCTTTTTTTTCTTTTAACTATCTAGACTAAAACGGTACAGCGAACAGAACAAACACAGCAAAACTAAACCAAACGATCAGTGCTCTTGGGGGGAAATGAGCACAATTCCAACGCTGGGATTGTGCATATTTACCTATCACTAAGACAGAACATCACTTTTTTACCAACATTCAATAAACTCCTTCTCCTCCACTTGGCAAGGCGCTAAATCTCATCTCGATTAGCAAAATTTGTAACCACATTTCAGTGGTTACAGTAGCAAAGTTCACAGCACAGACAAAAGGCTCCCATTAGTGTAATTTACCCAGATTCAGTAAATACACAGAGGGCTAGCAACAGCATACAGCTAGTGTGGGGACGTACACAAGATCTGTTCATTAATAGCAAGATAAATTTAAACACACATTATTTCAAGCATGTTCAGGCTTCCCCCCCACCCCTGACAAAGTCCAGCCCATATGAGATTCACAGCACCAGCCTCCTTTTTTCTAATTATTCCAAACTGTAAATTCAATCATCATAAGCATTTCAAAGAGTTCGGTAAACTCCACGTCAAATATTCAGAAGACATAGCAAGCTGTGTTTATTCATTGCCTTTGCTGCAAGGCCCAAGACTACCCATCGTTTCGGGGCCTCACAAATACTATGTAGACTGAGCAAGTCTCAGTTCCTATCATCCTAGCCAACAAAAATCTGGAGTGTTTGTTATATCAGTCAACATTTGCTCTCTGGACTGGGGACACATCAGAATGCTGCCCCTCATCCAGTCTGTTTGCCTTAGAAACCCTTTGCATAACTCTAGTTTCCAGGTGTTTATAATTTAGCTGTAAAATTCTGCTCCAGACTGCAATTTTGCCCATCAGGTCTGAATGGGATTAATAAACTACTTTATAAATTGTATTTTAGTAGCCAACACCAGCTCGCAGTAATCCACATATTTATCAACAATTTTCCAGCACAGAGAGGTAACTGAAGCAGCTGATCCAAAGCTTACTGGTGGCTGGACATTGGAGCCCAGGAGGTGTGGCACGGATCTCGTAGCATCCAGAAAGCAAACACTTTCACAGATTTTAAGTTATAGGCCTGGGCGTCACAAGAATGAGAACAGTTCAAGGAAGGGGAACGCCCTTCTCCATCCACCACCCCATGAGCCTCTGAAGTAGCGCAGAGGAAACCACGTCCACCCATTCCCAAAGCACAGGGCAGGGAAGGAAACGTGACGGAGTTACAACACCCGTCACAAAACGTACGGAAGCTAACAAACATGGCTATCCAGCCACAGCTGAACATGTGCCATTACTGGGGCTGGGAGTATGGAGGAAGATGACTGCATCACTCAAACATCCTCTAGCTAGGACCTGGCCACAGCTTCAGTTGGATCTATCTGTGCCCCCAGGCACAGGCAAGCTGATGCTGAGCTGCTCCTGCGGAGATAGGCTCTCTGCTCAGGCAGCACCTAGGGGCAGGAAAGGAGAATATACAACTTACTACTCATAGCAGCTGATAGGGATTCTCAGCATTTTGGCTCCAGCGGCATAACTGTGGTTTTCAAGGAAAACAGCTGCGAGTTCTCGTCCCCACAACAAACCCGTGCAGTCATGACCTCCGCGTTACGAACCAGCTGACCCGACTGTAGTCCCCAGCTTCCAAGCGCGTCTCCTCACCGGGTGGACACGGGGTGGCTAAGCAGAGACGGCACCGGGAGGGCTGTGGTACAAATACAAAAGACCAGAGTCGCCGACATCAGATCTGAGCGAGGAACTTCTCTGAAGTCAGTGGCGTCGCTCCCGATTACGGCGGGCAGGAGCCAGGCCCACAGATGCCCACATCAGAAGACTAGGCCTTTCCCATCAAGAGGACGGCTCAAACACAACCGCTACAGAGCACTTCCTGTCCCTGCCGGCATCAAGCCCCAGCTATAATTCTGCACGCCCTTTTCTATTTCTAGTGCCCATCGATTTCCGTTCGGATCTGACCAAAAGCAAAGAGAGGAGCACGCGTCGGCAGGGGCAACAAGGCAGGCACGAACCGGCAAAGTATGGCAGAACTGAGGAGGAGGGGCGGCCTCTCCCACCCCCTGCGGCTGACACTGCCATGTCGCAGCCCCACCGCTTGGCAGCGAGCCACCGAAGAGCCACAGAGAAGCCCTCGCGGTGGGGCGCCGCACCCAGCGCCCGAGGCAGCGACGGGGCCCCCTTCCCGAGAGGAGACATGCTCGCAGGCACTGGCCGCTTCCCCGGGGCCAGCCCAGCACCCCTGCAGCCCCAGCGCGCTGTGCACAGCACCAGTCCCACCAGTGCCCCTCCGCAGGGCACTGGGAGCAGCGGGAGGAAGAACCCTGCACCCTCTTCCCCAGCCCCGCAGACTCAGGACAAGCAGGGAGGGAGCACCTCAGGGCAGCCGTGCCAGGGGAAGGGGGGCACATCTGGGCAGCTGTGCCAGAAGGAGCGGGACATCTCTGGGCAGCTGTGCCAGGGTAGGGGGAGGAGCACATCTGGGCAGCTGTGCCCGAAGGGGTGGGGTGGGGGCAGCATCTCCAGGCAGCTGTGCC